CTTATTTTATTTGATATTTCTCATCAATAAAAGCGACTTTATTAAGGCTGACAGCTCGTTCAAACCCAACTATGTGAATCAAACACGTTAGACAAACAGCAGACATGTAGAAGAAGAAAAAGAGACAAAGTTTAACCTCAAAGGAGCATAATTCATCATGAGAGCACGTGGATGACGTCACTCCACCGTGTCTTTCATAGCAGGAAGAAGTTTGATGCAACGCTCTGAGCTCCCTCTGCTGGATTCCCCTTGAAACTACTACTATAGTACTACTAATATATCCTATATGAATATGAAATGTGAAGAATGGGCCTGTTAGCGTGTGCGTGATTCAACCTGACACGCACACGTTATGCAATAAGTCACCTGACGCACACGGTCCTGCTGTAAATCTACTCTGAGAGCTGTGTGAGGACCTGAAGGGGCCCCGGCGACAGTTTGTGGGCGGTGTTGGCGGTTCGTCCCTCCCCCCTTTGGATGGAGCCTATTCTCAGAAGTCTTTGCCAACCAGTCGCAGAGCAGGAGGCTCTAGAAGAACACAGGTGTCCTCTTCTTGAAGAGTCATGGAGACGTTCGACGTGTTCCTCCAGACCTAGTGTTTTCTAGTGTTCTATTCTCTGACATCATTCACACCCTGATGATGTTTAATGATCAGGTTTAAGTGTCTCTAAAGACACGTGGACACATGCGGGGCCGGGGATCAGACCTCCGATCCGGTGATCTCCAACGTCGCCCTGAGAGCCTCCTAGAAATTATCATAACAATTAATGTAAAAAAACATGGTCAAATGCTCACTTTAAATGCAAAGCTACGTTTCATTATTATCATATTTACATTCTCAGTATTGTTTTCCTCCATTGATTGATCTGGTGGGAACATTCAGGTTAAAATTATGAATAAACATAAAACACATTAACTTACTACACCCTGTTCTGGATAGAAAGGCTTTTTTTATCCAACAATCGCAAAAGCAATAAATCATATTATCATAACAAAATGATCATAATGTAGTAAATCGTGGTCGCATGCTCACTTTAAATGCAAAACTATGTGTTAATATTATCATATTTACATTTTGAGTCTTGTTTTACTCCTTTTTCCAATAATAATCTGATTTATCTGGTGGGAACATTCAGGTTATTTAAATAAAATCATCAATGAATATAAAATGCTCTAAACATTTTTGCTAAATGGGTCAATTCATCTCAGCAGTGAGTGAACGTGATGAAGAAAGCTTGACTTGGTTTACAATCATCAAGAAAGACTAACTCCTGCAGCGCTGCATGTACAGCTTTCATAAGGACATTGTTCGATGTTCACATTTCTACTGGTTTTTTTTGTGCTGTCTTTCCTTCCTGCATCGCAATGACATTGTTTGCCAACAAATTACCGTACAAACAGTAAAAGCGTAAATGTGAATCTTGTGAGTCTCTTGCAATCAATCTCCCACAAACACTAAGGTGTAACTTCCGTACAGTGCAGACATAAACAACCTTCTTTATTCTTCTCTTTCCATCATTTAAATAAGGCGATGTGATCTCAACAGTAGACGTGTCCGTGTGTATAAGCAGGCTTTTAGCGTCTGCATGTGTAAATACATCCAGTAAATGTAGCGTGTAAATGAGGACAATCAATAAGTATCAATAAGGTGTTCATCTGAGCCACAGACAGGAAGTCACAAAGGATTGAGACAAACAGGACATTTTAGGACACAACAGCAGATTTCTTTTCATCTGAATGGGGTCAAAGTGTCTTCATGTGGCTTTTTGAAGGGGCTGACGGGCTTCTGACTGACACTTTGTTGCTTATATTAACGTAGATGTTCAAGTGGATTCTACTACTTACATTCATACCACACTGCATGCTGGGATACGCTGGTTCTCAGAGGACAGACGTGTCCTCCACATCTCCCCCCCGGAGGGCTGCTTCCTTCCACCGCGTTGAAGCAGCCAATGGGACGGGAACGCCGAGTCGCAGCCGGAGTGATGCACGCAGTGGATGAGGAGCAGATGGATGCAGTCGCCCTGCTGGAGCTCCGGCGGCTCCTTGACCCCCGACATCACCTTCAGCTCTGCAGCAATCTGTTGTTTGTTTGCTCTTCATACGTGACAATAAAAAGAACTTTGACTCCGTGGGATCGAATCCCGCTGAGTTCCATCCACCTAATGTCACATGTTTAATGCTGAAGAAACACATTCACTTTCCCACAATGCTTTACTCTGAAGAAAGAAGAGCTGATGACACGAGGCGACGAGCAGAACACGGCTTATCAGATACAGCCGGGGTTCAATGCGTTGGGGGGGGTTAAAGTGAGAGAGAAAAGAGGGAGTGTGTTCAGTGGGACATCAACATGTTAGTAACACAAATAAATGAACATTAACGTCTCTGTTGGTGTTATTGTGTCTTTATTATATTCACTCTGTGATACATGTTGGGAATATGAGTGATGTTACTGGTTTAATCACATCGGTGAAGCTTTCAAAAGGTTCTTATTCAGAACAAACCTGCTTATGTGAAATTATAATTGATTTCACTGAACATTTTATAAGATTTGAAGTTAAAATCGGTTCAAAAATAATCATCTTATTTTTATCAATGCAAACAATCCTTGAAATTCACTTTGTTTTTATTAGCATGAATCCTAATAAAGCACACACACAAATCTCCATGTATCTCATATTGAGGGGTGGGGGGGCAGACAAGAGACCTTTTTATAAAATGTCTTCTTGAACACTGTGATACAAAGATTAATATTAAACCCTAATTAGGACCCAACATCTAAAAGTTGATTGATTGATTCATCCACAGAGGCAACGAGCACAGCAACATTAAAACACACCTTGCTGAGCTCCTTCACACTTCATCTGCAACACCACAAGTCCCAGAGAGCTGTGGACCCCCCAGAGTCCAGACCAGCTCAGGTACCCCTCACCTGCACCACCTGCATCTACACCCACATGAACCACCATCAGCTGCACAGACTGAACTATGTGGTGAGCAGAGAGGAAGGTTCTCCATCAGGAGGAGACTCTCCCTCCTGCAGAGAACACAGAGCCACTGAGGAACCAGGACTGAACCCGAACCCAGGATAAAGAGGTTCAGTGAATGTGGTGTTGAAGGTGTGGAGGTGGATCAGTGTGTCGGAGGAGACTGTGAAGAAGGACAAAGAGCCAGCAGGACAGTCCACATACACTGCTACTCTACCAGAGGAGGAGGAGGAGGAGGAGGTGATGCGTGTAACTGTCTTATTGTGACAGACAAAGTAACCTTTATCAGAGCACCCTAGATACCAGGACTGATCATTCAATCCAAACCGACAGTCATCACTGTATCCTTTCCTATTGATTCCTTTGTAACTCACTGATACATTAACTTCTCCGCTCCACTCAACCTCCCAGTAACAGCGACCAGTCAGACCAGATCTACAGAGCAGCTGAGGGAAGGACTCAAATCTGTCTGGATGATCAGGAAATGACTGATCGTCCACCCCACATGTCACCTTCCTGTTGTTGTCAGACAGTTTGAGTTTTCTGTTTACTGTGTTTGTGTCGATTGTGAGTTCACAGGAATCTGATGAGAGAACAAAACACAATACAGCTGCAGTTATTAATCATGTGTTCATCTACTGACACTTTGATGATGACATCACAGAGGTGAATGAGTGATGTCACACTTACACTTCCTCAGACCTGGTCTCAACCATCGGACTCCAGCAGGCTCCACCCTGAAAGGAGGAGGGGGGGGGTCAGAGCAGCATGGAGACATGGACATTACATCACTCTCACACACAGCTTTGTCCTTCATGTCCACATGGACCATCTCTTCTTCTTCTGATTTTACCGATGACCACATCTCATTATGTCCACTTATTGATGTTTGTCCATTTTTTAACTATTATTATTGCTGGGGTCGTCGTGGCGCAGGGGGTAGAGCGAGTGTGCTGGAAACTGAAATGTTGGTGGTTCGAGTCCCGGCTGCCCCATGTTACAAGTCGAAGTGTCCCTGAGCAAGACACCTAACCCCTAATTGCTCCCCGGGCAAAATGTAGAAAAGCCATGGGTTTCAAGTGTAATGTAAGTCACTTTGCGCTTTGGAAAAAAGCGTCAGCTAAATGACCTGTAATGTAATAAGTCTGTCTTGTCTACAAGGTTCTTGTGATGTCATGGAACCACAAACATGAATTCACAAAAAGGCATTTTAGTCCCGTATCTTGTCTCCTACATTAGTACCTTTGGTTTATTTCCTTATGAAAAATATCTTCATGAAATCTGAAATCTTGATACACATATATTGAGAAAGAGAGATCCTTTTTACACATTGTTTAGAGACACATTTAAATCACTGTAGACAGACTTAATCTGACCTTAGAGTCTCCAGGTGACAGTGTGGACTCTCCAGTCCACTAGACAGAAGCTTCACTCCTGAATCCTGCAGGTTGTTGTTACTGAGATCCAGCTCTCTCAGACTCGAGGACTGGGAGCTGAGAACTGAGGAAAGAGCTTCACAGCTTCTCTCTGTGAGGTTACAGCCACTCAGTCTGAAGAGACAACAATCAAGAAAAAAACAAACATTTGTGTTCAAATGAAATCGTGATAACATACTATCAGGAAGAACAAAGAAAAATTAGCTCAGTGAAAGTATTTACAATTTATTTTGTTGTACTTTAAACAAGAGGAACAAATTAGTTAATTATGCTCTAATGTTTACAGGAAGTACTGTAGTATCAATATCAAGATGAGGCTGGGATATTTAATGCTGTTCTTTAGAGCTAAATACAACATTTGGGTTCTCTATCCTCTGACTCGTTTTAAAGAAAGATGTAGAGCACAAGGGGAGTGTAAATGAGAAATGAATCTTCATCTTCTGATTTCATATTTTTTACGTTCTAAATAATAAATTAATAAGCAACTATAAAACTCTCAGCAGATTGTCACTGTAGAGAAACATTAAAGTATTTTTTTATAAAGTCTCTTTCCGACTTCTGCTTTTCTCCTTTTCATTCATTAATTATATCAAACATTACATCACAAAGCCTAAATGAGAGGAACAACAGGATGAACCTGTGGTGTTTTATTGTGAAAGAACATTGTGTTTCAGACACTGTCTATCTTTTTAACTATTGTGTAATAAGTTTGTCTTGTCTACAAGGTTCTTGTGACGTCATGGAAACACAAACATCAATTCACAAAAAGGGCTTTTAATCCAGAGTTTTGTCTCCTCCATTTGTTCCTCTGGTTCCATAGTTCTGGTTGATTTTCTGATGAAAAATATGTTTATGAAATCTGAAATTTTGATGAACAAATTCATAGATTGAGAAAGAGCGATACTGCTTTAAACTGCATGGAGCTGATAGTTTAGAGACACATTTAAATCACTAAAGACAAACTTAATCTGACCTGAGAGTCTCCAGGTCACAGTGTGGAGTCTTCAGTCCAGCACACAGCAGCTCCACTCCTGAATCCTGCAGGTCGCTGTTACTCAGATCCAGCTCTTTCAGACTAGAGGACTGGGAGCGGAGCATTGAGGACAGAGCTTCACAGCTTCTCTCTGAGAGGTTACAGTCCCTCAGTCTGAAGAGACATCAACAAGAAGAAAATATGAACAATAAGTAGAAAAGATGACGGGATAATTTCAGTCATGATGTATGAATCTGTCTTTACTTACAGAGCTTTGTTGGAGGCTTTGACCACTGGCAGCAGCCTCAGAAGAGCCTCCTCTGAAGCAGAGTATTTCTTCAGGTCAAACACCTCCAGATCTCTTTCTGAGGACAGTAAGATGAAGACCAGAGCTGACCACTGAGCAGGAGACAGTTTATCTGTGGAGAGATGTCCTGAACTAAGGGACTGTTGGATCTCCTTCACTAGAGAATCATCATTCAGTTCATTCAGACAGTGGAACAGATTGATGCTTTTCTCTGTAGACACATTCTCACTGATCTTCTTCTTGATGTACTGGACTGTTCTCTGGTTGGTCTGTGAGCGACTTCCTGTCTGTGTCAGCAGACCTCGCACGGCAGCCTGATTGGTCTCCAGTGAAAGACCCAGAAGGAATCGGAGGAACAAGTCCAGGTGTCCATTAGGACTCTGTAAGGCCTTGTCCACAGCACTCAGGTAGAAACGTTTGGGTTTGATTCTACAGACTTTAAACCACAGGGAGGTTGACAGCAGATTGACACCAGAGCTGATGAAGGTCAGATGGACATGAAGAGCAGCCAGAAACTCCTGAACACTCAGATGGACGAAGCAGAACACCTCTTGACACACTCCTTTCTCTTCTCTAAAGATTTCAGTGAACACTCCTGAGTACACTGAGGCTGCTTTGATATCGATGCCACACTCTGTCAGGTCTGATTCATAGAAGATCAGGTTGCCTTTCTGCATCTGATCAAAGGCCAGTTTTCCCAGAGACTTGATCATCTTCCGGCTCTCTGGATTCCAGCGACGATCTGTCTCAGCTCCTCCATCGTACTTGTCCTTCTTTACCACTGACTGTACCACCAGGAATTGGATGTACATCTGAGTCAGCGTCTTGGGCAGCTCTCCTCCCTCTCTGGTCTTCAACTCCTCCTCCAGAACTGTAGCAGTGATCCAGCAGAAGACTGGGATGTGGCACATGATGTGGAGGCTTCGTGAGGTCTTGATGTGAGAGATGATCCTGCTGGCCTGCTCCTCATCTCTGAACCTCTTCTTGAAGTACTCCTCCTTCTGGAGGTCAGTGAACCCTCTGACCTCTGTCACCCTGCTGACACACTCAGCAGGGATCTGATTGGCTGCTGCAGGGCGTGTGGTTATCCAGAGGCGAGCAGTGGGAAGCAGCTTCCCCTTGATGAGGTTTGTGAGGAGCACATCCAATGAGGCGGACTTTTTGACATCAGTCAGGATCTCATTGTTGTGGAAGTTCAGAGGAAGTCGACACTCATCCAGACCGTCAAAGATGAACACAACCTGGAACTCTTCAAACCGGCAGATTTCTGCTGCTTTGGTTTCACTGAAGAAGTCATGAACAAGTCCCACCAAGCTGTACTTCTTCTCTCTCTGCACATTCAGCTCTCTGAAGGTGAATGGAAATGTGAACTGTATGTCCTGGTGGTCTTTGTCTTCAGCCCAGTCCAGAATAAACTTCTGTGTTAAGACTGTTTTCCCAATGCCAGCCGCTCCCTTTGTCATCAGTGTTCTCATTGGTTTCTTGCTTCCAGCTGAGGCTTTGAAGAGGTCTTCTAGTCTGATGGTTGTTTCTGGTCTGTCTGATTTCCTGGATGCTGTTTCAATCTGCCTGACCTCATGTTCTTGATTGACCTCTGCAGTCCCTCCCTCTGTGATGTAGAGCTCTGAGTAGATCTCATTCAGAAGGGTTGTGTTTCCTGCTTTAGCGATCCCCTCAAACACACACTGGAACTTCTCCTTCAGGTTGGATTTGAGTTCACGTTGACAGTTGGCGATAATCTCTGAATGAACAAAAAAAAAGAGATCTCACAAAAAGTAAACTTTAATGGTTTAATAATGTCTTTAATGGTGTAATATTTCCCCTGGGTTAAGTTATTGATTGTATTTTGCTGCATGTCCATCTGAAGCTACCAGAAGACTGACTGTGAGAACTTGACAATCAAGAACTATGACCATGGAAACAACTGTGTGCAATAATTGACGGTTGTAGAAACAGTCTCTTCACCTTGACCTCTATCTCCTCCCACAGGATTCAGTTTGCCTGAAACAAGATGTTTTCTGTGATTACTTTGTGCATTTGTATAGTGATAATAGCTGGTATATAGTCTGTGCTCAAATTCAACCCTACACTGGTAATGTGGAATAGTTCCTCTTATTGAGTGAAAACCAGTTATGAGACTCAATTTATAGTTTGGTTTTTAATCTGATGTCTTTGTTCCTCTTTTTAACAACTTACCCGTAGATTTTGTTCTAGATAATTTTTCGGCCAGATTGTTCTTCTGCATGTCTTTCAAAACCGTGATGGCCACCTGAACCAAGTCTGTGTCGTAGCACCGAACCATCAGGTCCACTGTGTTCATCCTGTCTGCTTTTTCCAGGTCACAGATTGGGATTGCTCGGAGGTCTTCTGAGCTTGGATAGTTCTCCAGGTACCACTTGAACTGTTTGAAGTCCTCCTTCTTGAGCTCCTCTAAAATGTTGAGGATCTCCTTCTTGACTTTCTCCATCTGTCAGCCAAAAGACAGCCAAATAAATATCAACTGTGGAGAACAATTACTGCTTTGCATCTAAACAACAAACAGCAGTGTGTTTTAAAGATGGAGTTATATCGATTCATTGGTTTTGGTACACAATCAAATAGAATTCTTCTCCCTCTTTCTAAGCACCTCTGATGAAGTCAGCGTTCTCTTTGTGGACCCAAGTTGGATGATTTTAGGGAAGTTTGAAGGCGGTTCACAGCTTCACCTGCAACAACAGTAATGCTGTGTCATTTGCATTTATCAAGCAAAATCAATTTATAATCAAATAATCTTGAAGCAGGAAGCATATGGAGTCAAATCCAAAAGTGTTGATCTTTTGAAAAATGAAATTCCATCCATCCATCCATTGTCAAACCGCTTATCCTGCACACAGGGTCGCGGGGGGGCTGGAGTCCATCCCAGCCAACTTCGGGCGATAGACAGGGTACACCATGGATTGGTCGCCAGCCAATCGCAGGGCAACACAGAGACACACAACCATTCACACTCACATTCACACATCTACGGGCAATTTAGAGTCCCCAATCAACCTGATCCCCAGAGCATGTCTTTGGACTGTGGGAGGAAGCCGGAGAACCCGGAGAGAACCCACGCAGACACGGGGAGAACATGCAGACTCTGGGAATCGAAGCCAGGACCTTCTTGCTGTGAGGCGACAGTGCTAACCACCACGCCACCGTGCCGCCCTAAAATGAAATTGAACCTGACAAAAAATTTAGATTAGTCTTGTTTTAGTGCGCACAATGGCGTTTTGTCTTGTGTAGTTATACAACGGGAGTGTCGGGAGACACATGAGTGGCGTAGAGAGCAAATAATCTTTGTCTGTTCCATGTGCAGGTGGCAATAAACGAGAAATATCCCTCCTTAGAGTTATTTCAATCGCATGCCGGAAAAGCATCCATTGGACATATTATCCACGGTTCTATTTAGCTTTACTAAAGCAATAAGGTACGAAAGGCTGTATTTTATTGTCCAATAATGTAACAGTTCGGGGGTGTTGTTAGGCCTGACGCAGAGCGGAGGGCCGGAAACCCTCGAACTGCACTGCCTCAAGTACCTTATTGCTTATATAATACGGTTACCAGCGAAATTATAAATAGGAAATAAATAGCTGCCTTTCAGCACAAAATAGTTGTAGCCACTGTCACGGTGTGGTTCACGTCCTGTCTTATTTTGTAGTTTTCTGCCACTCGTGTCCCCGGGTAACTTCACTTCCTGCCTCGTCCTGTCATCCCCCCCCCCCTCAGATCAAACTGAGCTCCTCTTCATCACAGTGTCATCATTCAGACTAACAGCAGCTTCTCTCTGCCTGCTCACACAGGCACCATCTTGCTTCCCAGCTTTAAACAATCACACGTTCACAACCATCAATGATGTAATTCCACCAATCACAGCTCCACTTACTGACATTGGAGACATCAACTTTCTCAGTGTGCAGCTCTCTTCTGTCCTCAGCAGGTCCGTGTAGAAAAGGAGCTCCGTGCTTCACTTCAGCCTCCATCAGACGGAGTGAAGTGATGCAGCTTGTTATCCTTTATATCGTCATATCACCATCAAAGTCCAAAGTCCGACTGGTTTAGTTTCAATCTGAGTTGTGTACACAGGGTCAAAGGTCCTCTTTAACAGAATCCTCCTCACTGCACAAACAAGAGTCTTCCAGGATCAATCTGTGGAACAATCCTTTCACCTTGTATCATTTAGAGGACCTGTGCACGGCCCTCTTTGTCACCTGGTCTTCTTCTACATGTAGACTAGTAGGGAACATGTGATGAAGCAGAAACCTTTGTAACAAATATTGTGAAGAGTTTATATTGAATAAAAGCATTCACTAAAACCACAGTGGGGTGGGGGTTAGCACTGTCACCTCACAGCAAGAAGGTCCTGGGTTCGACTCCATTCAGTGGCCTTTCTATGTGGAGTCTGCATGTTCTCCCTGTGTCTGCGTGGGTTCTCTCCGGGTACTCTGGCTTCCTCCCACAGTCCAAAGACATGCACTGGGCATCAGGTTAATTGGGGACTCTAAATTGCCCGTAGGTGTGTGAATGTGAGAGTGAATGGTTGTATGTCTCTGTATTAGCCCTGCAATAAGCTGGCGACCAATCCAGGATGTACCCCGTCTATTGCCCGAAGTCGGCTGGGATAGACTCCAGCCCCCTGCGACCCTGCGTGCAGGATAAGTGGTTTGCAAATGGATGGACTAAAACAACAGTCTCACCTGTGAGTGTTTTTATTCACTGCACTTTGATGATCTGGTTTAACCTGTTGGGGTGGAACAATTTACCCACGTATCAGTCTGAAACTGCATGTTAAATCATTTACCTTTATGACAAACTGCAGCTTCCTCACAAAGGACACGTAGTTACATGCAGTATTCAATGGCAGTATGCATGGCACCTTGAACCCTTGGGCTCATATATCTATGGGGTCAGATCAGTCTCAATAATTGCAAATCCGCACAGAGCGACTCATAAATGCAAACTGGAAGATTCACAAAGAAGGATTTACAAATACATTTCAATGCACAGATCAATAAATTACTATTTATATTTGCGGATCGCACTGCATTTATTTGCGGATCGCTTCACATTTGTGTGTGGGTTTTTTGAGTCTCTGCTGACGTCGCAGATCCACAAATATTTTCAACGTGGACATGTCTGTAGCCAGATCTGTCTGTTGTATCAGATGTCGCCCTCATTTCAACCAATCACAGCTGCGTAAATATGACCGCTTATACAAGCCGTCATTGGCGGACTATGAGGACGCGCGGATGGCCTCTGATTCATGGAGGGAGATCTCCGCAAACGTCGCTTTGCCGGTCGAGGGGAACAAAGTTGTGGAGGAAAGTACGGGACAAATGTGTCCTTGATGAAAAGCAGCAGTGGCGATGCACGGGGCAAAAAAGTCTCTGATAAATAAATAAACAAACCAACAACTTCCACATACAAAGACGTGACTCTCTAGGCCGTCTTCAACAAAACACGTCACACCACCTATTTTTCTGGCGGTGAATTGCTCTGCAACACACGCAAGACTTTTAGAACCATGAATGAACCGTGCGTAAAGACGCAGAAGCACGCAGTGGCGTCTGGTAGTGACGACGCTCCGCCTCTACTGTAGGTGAAACTAGTTTAATGTCCCCCCCCACCCCCGTGTTGTAAGACATGACATGTTCTTCAACCATGTTATTCAGTTTAATCTTATACTGTACCTTCATAAGCTTAGTTAGCTAGCTAGTGTTGTCTACAGTTTCTGCATGCATGAACACCTCCGCAGTCGGCGGCGGCGGCTCAGGGGCACGGAACACCTCCGCAGTCGTCTGGTTTCCCTCCCTCCCGCCCCTTGTCTGTTCCTGGTCTGTTTAGGGCCATCTGGAATTTGGCCCTTGAGGGGGGAGTTCTGTCACGGTTTGGGTCAATGTCTGGTTTTATTTTGTAGTTTCTTGCCTCTGTTCTCTCTGGGTCACGTTACTTCCTGCCTTGTCCAGTCCTCCTCTGTGATTGTCTGTCATGTCATGATTGTTTCCACCTGTGTCCAATCACCTGCACCTCCCTAGTGTATTTAAGCAGTGTGTGTCTGTTGTCGCGTCATTGTCTATCGTCTGGATGTTCCTCGTTCCTGCCTGCCTTTTTGCCCCCTGTTCCTGTGTGTGTTTTTGCCCGTTTTGACTATTAAAGTCTTTTTGTTTAAGAACTCTGTGTTTGAGTCCTGCCTTTTTCCCCACGCAACATCCCTGACAGGATATCAACGTGCCAGAAAACGTCAATTTGTTGATAAATGTCTTATGTTGTAACGTAAGGTTGAAAGAGAGACAATATTAACATTAAGACGTTCATAATAATTTATGAACTGGTCGGCGAAATTTGGTCTACACGAAGACGTGATTTCAACGTATTTAATATTTTACTTAAAACGTCATGAATATCGTCATGACGATATTGTCATGTCGTCGTCGTGGCGCAGGGGTTAGAGAAGGTGTGCTGGGAAGCACAAGGTTGTTGGTTCGATTCCAGGCTGCCCCATGTTCCATGTCGAAGTGTCCCTGAGCAAGACACCTAACTTCTAATTGCTCCCCAGGCGAAAATGTGAAAAAAGCCAAGGGTTTAAAGTGTAATGTAAGTCGCTTTGGATAAAAGCGTCAGCTAAATGACCTGTAATGTAATGTAATGTAATATGAAACTACAGACTGTGTGCTGTTAATAAGATACCTTTAGGACATAACAATGCAGGCAGATTCAAACATTACTTGTAAACACATAACTCCGCTGACATCTGTAACGCGCATGCGCAAATTCTTAGACGCTTGCAGAGCTCCGACCGGGCGCAGCAGGAGGCGAAGTTACGGCAGCAGAGCGACATGAACGGGCTGATAGAACCACGACTACCGGCTCCACTACTCTGTAAGTACGCGAGTGTTTGAATGAAGCACACCTGCAACTATACCCGTTGTTTTACCTGTGCTGCCCACCCGATACGGGAAACACGGTTCTTTTTGGTAAGCTAGTTAGCGTTAGCTAACTAGATGGTAGTTTGCTGGTTAGCATGCTAGCTTGGAGCATGCTAGTGTTCAGTATGATGACCTGGACCAAAAGTGAACATACCAGAATATTTTGTGTGTTTGGTGTTGCTAATGCGTTGTTACTGTACCCATGAATATATTATTGCCTTTCCCTTTTCATATTGAAAATACGTTTTTAAAGCAATGGGGGCTATATACAGATTGCAAGGGTGAAGGGCTGAATTCAACAAGTTGTGGTCTGTAAACAAGAGGGCCAAAACGTTGTACGTTACTGCTGATACTGTATAATATACCTGGAAATGTTACTCCAGAAACGCCATAAGTTGCAGATTAATTATTATCTTGTTTATAATGTAATAAGTAAACTATCTATAAATGAGGGTTATAACACACACGCTGTTATCATTATTAGTTTATTACTGTCATCATAAACCCAAACTACCAACTTTCCCTTTGTGCTTTCCCTCCTCACAGGTTTCTGTGGGTGGTGGTTGTATCTGATGGAGGTTACATCTGATGATGGTTGTCCCTGCAGTGGTGCTGCCTTGCTCCTGGCTTAATAATTCACAATATTTTAATCATTTATGTCGTAGGAATTGTATGTACCATACATCTTTAAGTTGTTCATACTCCACACACCTACTTCTCTGCTGTTTTCCCCTCAGGTTACTCCCAGTTGAAGTTTTTCTTCTTTTTTTATATTTTGGGGTTTAGGGGACAGGGTGTTTACAGATTGCAAAGCGTGAACAAAATAAAATGGTTTGAATTGAATAAACACGTTGACCAGAGACATCTGTAATTGAGGGGTGTTCTGTGCACTCTGACTCCCTTTACACAAAGAATCCTCAAGTGAGGATGAGGGAGATGCAGCTGATTTCAGGTATACTATCCCAACTCAAGTGACTCAGTCAGATCTTGTTACAGAATCTGTAAATGAACTACAAACACAGAATTCTAAACTTGTCCATGTTGTTTCTGCACTTTTAATTCCATAGTTCTTCCGTGAAATATATTTTATTTTTGTATTGTTTTTACTTAGGAAAAGTGTTTTTATAAGTTTAGTATTGTGTTATATTTATAATAAATACCAATTAATAAAATAATGTGTTTGTCCTTGTTAAGGGGTGTTAACATGACAACTGTGACTAGTATGTAAGTATCAAGTAAGTTCTAGTAAATATGTATGTAAGTACTAGTAAGTATGTAACTTGTAAGTTTCCAGCGAGCAATTTATCCATTGAAAAGATGTTTGAAAGACGTCTATAACCCGACGTTGAAAATACGTCGCAAATTGGTTAAAAAGTGAACGTTTTTTCAACGTCTATTTGTAGACACGTTTAGAACCGTTTTCAACGTGATTTTTAATATAAGTGGTAAACTTTCAAATGTGGACGTAGTTTCTTTTTAAACCTCTAAAATAATGATATAGCGCAAAGTAGAGGACAAAATATTACCGTATTTTAAAAATCGCGTTAAAATCTGGTCCAAACATCACTTTAAACCATTTTGCAACACCTTTTTAACCAAAAAATGCTCGCTGGGTTCTTTCAGAGCAACGGATTTTGCGGGGCTTGCTAAAAAAAGACAAGCGAGGCAGACGCGCTGTGCACGGAGGGGAAGGGGTGGGTGAGAGACGGAGGGAGAGCGGGGAAATGAAATGCAGCTGAACGAATACGCTGCGTGATTTAAATAGCGTTAAAACCAAACGCAATGTGTGGCGGCCGGTGTTGAATCTGTGGCGCACAATCTAGTCTTTTTTTACTTATTATGGTTTCATAGTAAAAATCATGTTTCAATTATGTTTTAACAAGCAAACTTTTACCGGCGTGGCTGTGTTGTGTGAAATTTGTAAAAATGATTGTATAGTGACTAAGATAATGTTAGCTTATGATGCTAGGTTGTCTGTCTGCATTAACGTTACCTTGCAAAGCAGTTACGTTAGCAAACGCTTGTATTAAAATGCCACAAAAACATCCACGATGCAACATATTTGACGTAGTAATAATTTACGTTAATCATGCACGCCATGAAACATTAAAATTCTTTCACCTACAGTACAAGCGGAGCATCGTCACTACCAGACGCCATTGCTTGCTGACTTCGGACCCGTTACATCGCCTTCGCAAGTTGCGGTTCTGTAATGCTGGAAGGCTCGTGGGGAGGGGAGGAGGGAGCTGTG